TTTGAGGTTGTTTTATTTTTTAAATGTTCCTAGAAGCTCCATTTGCAATATCCAAAAAAGGAAACCACCTAAAAGGAAGCAACCTAAAAGTCCCACTGATAAACGATTAAACATATTTTGGACTACCTGTACAGTGGAATATTGAGCAACAAAAGGAACTTATTGATACTTCAAAACAATTATGTTGACCTAACGGTTTTGGCTCAGTGGATGGAACCTGCAGACTGAAGGGTCCCAAGTTCGATTCCAGTCAAGGGCTTGTACCTTGGTTGGGGGCACATCCCCCGTGGGGGGTATGCAGGAGGCAGCTGATCCGTGTTTCTAACTCTCTATCCCTCTCCCTTCCTGTCTGTAAAATTAAAACAGCAGCAAACAATTACGTTGTGTGAAAGAAGGCAGATGAAAAGGTTTCCTACAGAAAGAGTCTATTCATACAATACAGACTCATGGATGGTGAAAGGCAGCTCAGCGCCTGCTTAGGATGCATGTAGCATGTTTTGCGCTCGGGCAGGTTAGAATGAGGCTGCAAAGAGCCTGGCTACGTCCTTCGTTTCTGCTCACGTTGTGATCACCCTCCCCTGGACCGCCTCCTTTTTCCAAATCTGGTTGGTTCTCAGAACGCACTGCCACCTGCCGGGTGCGCGCTGAGCTCCCAAGACCATTAGTTCTGTACGGAACCGCACTTCCCCCAAGATGGCGGCGCCCACGCGCTCCCGCCTCACGGCGCTAACCCTACACGGTTTTTTATCGCCCCGCCTGCTTTTCTGCCAAACCTGCTTACGTTTTTATACGGCCCCTAAATCTCTTCGCAATTAAGACTAGTGACTGGGGTGTCCGGAACTTTTTTTACTTTTCCACCAAGCGGAGGCGTCACAGCCGTAACGGCGGCTCAGAACGTACGCCGGGCCCTTTAGGTGCCGATGGGCTCCGGCCTTTGAAGTGTCCCCCACAACACGTGAGTTTCCCCGCACGTCACGGGCCTGCTGGGACCTCGGGCCTCTGAAAAGCCTCTCCATATTCCCATCTAAGGGCTGGCGGGCCAGACTCTTCTCGGCGTCGCGTCGGCCGGCCGCGGACGCAGAAGCCTCTGTACGTCAGGCGTGCCAAGATGGCGGCGCCCGGTTGCCGAGGCGGCGGCGGCGCGGGCCCATGACGTCATAAGGGAAAGCCCGGAACCCGTATTCCGTTCTCCATAGAAACGGGACAGAAACCTCCCTGTGCCGCGGTCGGGGGACCTTCTCTGGAGCGGCGGCCAGGAGGGAGACGTTTGGGGAAGTAAGTTGGGCCTGCAGAGGTCGCTGCAGGCTCCGGAGGGGGTCCGGCCGTGCGCGGGGTGTCCGTCGGCTGGCGGGGGGCGGGGGTGGGGTAGGGGTGGCAGCCCCTGTGAGTGGGTGAAGGTAGCGCCGGGCGGGGAGCACGGAGGACTCTACTGGGTGTCTGGGAACGTGGTGTCTTGGGGGTCAGTCGTGGGGTCGGGGGTAGGGGGGGTCGTCGCTGGTGGTCAGTGACTAACGGTCTAAACGGATCCTCTTCGGAGGGTCTGGGGGTCAGGGGTCAGGGGTCAGGGTCTCGCGGGTCACCGCCTTTGGTGGCTGACAGCGGGCTGCAGTTTGTCAGTGACACGGCGGGCGGCCCGTCCGGCTCAGGCTCTGCGGAAACTTGGAGCCGGTGACGGAGGGATGGTGAAGGGAGGTCAGTGTGCGGGCAGCCGGCCTGGTTTGGGGGTTAACCCCGCGGGGGGCGGGAGGGGGCACTGTCTTTGGTGCCGAGATGTGTGACAGCGGAAGGCGTGGAGGCTCGGGGCGCCGGTGCTTCCACCTTGAGCTCAGGCTCCTGGACTAGATCTCTCCGCCACATCCTCCCAGTCTTTTCCACCCGCAGAAATAAAAGTCTTGGGGGTAGGTGAACCATTCAGCATATTTAAAATTAATAAGATTTTTTTACAATATATTTTTTATTGACTTGTTACAGAGAGGAAGGGAGAGGGAGAGAGGAACAGCAATGATGGGAGAGAATTACTGATTGGCTGCCTCCTGCACCCTTGACATGGGATCAAGCCCCCAACCTCAGGCATGTGCTCTGACCAGGAATGGAACAGTGCCCTCCTGATTCAGAGGTTGACACTCAACCACTGAGCCACCCCAGCTGGGCTGTAGTTTAAAGGAAAGATTCACAGTTCCTCACTGCCCGCAGGACCTCATTTCTATTATTGTTCTGAAATTTACCTGCCACTGAGGCACAGTGCTGTGCCGTTCTCCTTTGCCACTCTCTCACATTCAAGCTACTTATATCTCCAGGGTCTTCTGTTTCATCACCTCAGGTGTGCTCTCCAGGGAACGAACTACTGAGCCAGAATACTGGGGACCGTGGGTAAAGGTGAGTGCGTAGCCAGGGGAATGTAACCCTGAACGTGATCTTGCTCTTCGCCCCACAGGTTTGGACAAGAGAGAAGAAAAGAATGAAGAAAGCGGAGGTTCCAGGACCTAAATATTGTCCTTCCTAGGAACTCTTTCAGCTGGAGAGCGGGATTTTTAACTAGAAATTTCGGACATATCGAGAGGAGACAAAGACGAGTACACCGGCTGCTGACCATTTCCCCCAACTGCAGGAGATGGCCGAGGCCCAGGTGACGTTTGTTTTATTCTTTTCTTTATTGCCTAATGGATTGGTAGTGGCCTGTAAAACCAGTTCAGTATCCAGAGTGAAATAAACTTTGAATTTAACTCCAACATCAGGGCAAATTAGGATCAAGAAAATAGTATTCGCTGAAACCTGTTTGACTCAGTGGATAGAGCGTCGGTCTGCGGACTGAAGGGTCCCAGGTTCGATTCCGGTCAAGGGCATGTACATTGGTGCGGGCACATCCCTGGTAGGGGGTGTGCAGGAGGCAGCTGGTCGATGTTTCTCTCTCATCGATGTTTCTAGCTCTCTATCCCTCTCCCTTCCTCCTCTCCGTAAAATATCAATAAAATATATTTTTTTAAAAATAGTATTCATGCCCTAGCCTGTTTGGCTCAGTGGATACAGCGTCCACCTGTGGATCAAAGGGTCCCAGGTTTGATTCCAGTCAAGGGCACCTACTTTGGTTGTCGGCTCCTCCCCAGGAGGCAGCCAATCGATGTGTTTGAGAGCATCTATGTCTCTCTCTGTCTTTCCCTTTCTCTTCCACTCTTTCCTAAAAATCAATGGGAAAATATCCTAAGGTGCGGATTAACAAAACAAAAAGAAAGGAAATTTAAATAAAGAATATAGTCCCCTAGACGGTTTGGTTCAGTGGATAGAGCATCAGCCTATGGACTGAAGGGTTCCAGGTTTGATTCTAGTCAAGGGCACATGCCTAGGTTGTGGGCTCGGTCCCCAGTGGGGGGCTGTGCAAGGAGGCAGCCGATCAATGATTCTTTCTCATCATTGATGTTTCTATCTCTCTCTCCCTCTCCCTTCCTCTCTGAAATCAATAAAATATGTATATTAAAAAAAAGAATATAGTATTCATATGATTCTGAGTAAATGACTAATGTTAGCATGTAACATAAAATTGAAGGATCCTCTGGGTTACATTAGCTATCAGCTTGTGTCTAATCCGACACAACAAGAGAATCCTGCTACATTATATGGTACTAGTGTGTATCATATATTGTGAGGAGACAGCAGATGGTCCCTCGGGGAATGTCAATATTTCTTGGCACTGAGGTCTCAGGAAAAATGTTATACTAGTATTCTTCCTAGAGGTGATGGGTGGACAGTGTTTTGAACTTCTAATAAAGGTATAGGCAGCCCTAGCTGAAGGGTCCCAGGTTTGATTCCGGTCAGGGCACCTGCCTGGGTTGTGGGCTCGATCCCCAGAGGGGGGCATGCAGGAGGCAGCCTATCAATGATTCTCTTACATCATTGATGTTTCTATCTTTCTTTCCCTTTCCCTTCTTCTCTGAAATCAATAAAATATATCTATCTATCTATCTATCTATCTATCTATATATTTTTTTATTTTTTTATTTTTTTTTTTAAAGGCAGAAGCAGATTTCGTACTGCTGTTCATTCCAGGGGTCCTCACAGACCCATTGGGCAAGAAGGCAAACTCAGAGAACACAGTTTTATCAGGGACCAAGGAGAGTCACTCAGAGGACTCAGCCTGGTGTCTGGATTTATCTGGTATTAAAATCCAAATGGCCTAAGAAAATGGGAAGATTGCATGGCTTTCTTTTTTTAATTTTTTTAATTGATTTATTTTAGAGAGAGAAGGGAGAGAGAGACATTAATTTGCTAATCCACTCATTCCCACACTCATTGGTTGCGCCCTGACTGGGATGGAACCTGAAACGTTAATGTATCGGACAGTGCTCCAACAACTGAGCTCCAACAACTGAGCTACCCAGCCAGGGCTGCATGGCTTTCACATGTTTTTCCATCAACACGTAGCTGAGCCGCTAAAGTTCAGATCTGGCCTCAGGTGGCTGCAAGAAATTGTGTCTGGAAAGAGCTTGAGTTATTGGGTTCCAGGGATTTGCTTTTAACGCCACGTCATCTTGGAAAATATAGAATCCATCACCATCTTCAAATCCAATTCTTACCTCTTCTTTCTTTGCTTTTCTAAATTATGCAAATTACTCATATCTGTTTTTAAAAATATGATTTTATTGATGAGAGAGAGAAACATCGATCAGCTGCGCCCTGCCGAGCTCTGAAACTGGGATCGAGCCTGCAACCTGGGCATGTGCCCTGACCAGGAATTGAACTGGTGATCTTTTGGTGCACTGGATGATGCTCAACTAACTGAGCCACACTGGCTAGGGTTCACAGATATATTTTAAAGAAAAATATTCAATGAGTGCCCCTGGGCAAAAAAGTAAATTTCTTCTTTATAATGTCTTTCCTCATTGTCCCCTCATACTACTTTTTAAAAATATATATTTTATTGATTTTTCTACAGAGAGGAAGGGAGAGGAATAGAGAGTTAGAAACAATGATGAGAGAGAAACATGGATCAGCTGCCTCCTGCACACCCCCTACTGGGGGTGTGCCTGCAACCTTGACCGGAATTGAACCTGGGACCCTTCAGTCTGCAGGCTGACGCTCTTTCCACTGAGCCAGACCAGTTAGGGGCCCTCATACTGCTTTAACAAATGTTTGCTAGTGTGTGTTGCTGTCACTAAACCTATATGTGCATTTATAATATGTGCCTATTTACCAATGTATGTGGATTTGTGTACATATCTGAGTACATTAACACATCTACTGTGACACTTATGTATCAATGGACTCATACTTCAAATAACATGATAGTGATTTTTGGGAGCTGTGTGCTGTAGTTTCAGCCGGAAGTGTCTACATGCAGATTTCCTGCCTGGCTTTGCTGGATTACTGAGTCTGAGTTATAGGAAGTTTAATCAGTTCTGATATTTTCTCATTCTGGAGATCTTTGTTTCGCTTTTCTGTTTCTGTATAATCTCCTCCAAAAACTGCATACAGGCCTATGCTAGACCTTGCTCTATTCATATTTATTGAACTTGCCTTTAAATTTTCCATCTCTTTCTGGGGCTGCTTCATTTTGGGTTATTTTTTTAATGAGTATTCCACTTTATTAATTGTCTCCCCAGTGTATCTAATATGTTAACCTTTTGAGAAATAATAAATATATACATTAGCTGGCCAGCTAGCTCAGTTGATTAGAGCGTCGTCCTGATATGCCAAGGTTGTGGGTTTGCTCCCCTGTAAGAGAACATAGAAGAAGCAACCAATGAATGCATAAATAAGTGGAACAACAAATTGATATCTTTCTCTCTGTCTCCTTTTCTTCTTCTTCTCCTTCTCCTTTTCTTTCTCTTTCTCCTTCTCCTTCTTCTCTTTCTCTAATATCAATTTTTTTAAAAAGATTTTAAGGCCACATTACAATTGGTGTCAGAAGTGTAGTTAATATGAACAGGACAACTTCCTTTATATTATTTATGGCCAGTAAAAGAAAAACACTCCCTAGTAAACAGGCCTCTGTTGTTACAGGAACCACTGACGCTGGAGGATGTGGCCGTGGACTTCACCTCGGAGGAGTGGCAGCTCCTGGGCCCCCAGCAGAAGATCCTGTACAGGGACGTGATGCTGGAGACCTACCGCCACCTGGTGTCCATGGGTGAGGACAGCTCCCCCGTGCCAGTCCGAGGGCGCCAGTCAGTGGCCCTTCCTTTCCTCTCTCAGCTGCTTATACTTGGGAATCGCTGCAGTGCCCCGAATGGCAGTTCTCAGTGCCTCCTCTCAGTGCCTCCTCTGGCTCCGGATAAAGCATATCACACACCATAGATCTACCAACACAACTGGCACCAACTGGGTGGGGGTTTCCTTCACCAGCAGTAATTCTCCGCCTCTCCCAGTACCAGCTGGGTGTCCTGCAGCTCCGTTCGAGTCTGTGTTGACACTAATACCGGAGGTAGCATCAGACTCCACAGGTGTAAGGGCTCATACCACAGCACCACGCTCACTTCAGATGCCAGTCGCAAGTACTGTGTATGCAGGGTACATCTTGGCTGTACGTCTGTCCAGCGTGGCTGTGAATTTGGTGTTCCAACAACGTGCCGTGCCAGCTCAGGTTTCACAGTTCGCTGGAATGGCTCCTAGGACTCAGGAAGGCACTTGTTATCATGATCGGTTTATTATAAAGTTTAAAAAAATAATAATTTAGAAACAGCCAAATAGAAGAGAGATTTAGGGAAAAGTATGGAGAAAGGGGTGTGGACCTTCCATGCCCTCTGCAGGCACGCTGCCCTCCCAGAATCTCAATGTGGTCATCAAGCTGGTAGCTCTCCCACCCAGTTATTTAGGGATTTTTAGGGAAAGTGCATGATGTAACCAGAACTTGATGTAAGCATGCCTGCTTAAATTGTTGGCCATTGGTGATTCATTCTCTCTCCAGCCCTCGTACACTATCGGAAAATATATATATATACATATATATATATATATGTATATATATATACATATATATATATATATATGTGTATATATATATACATATATGTATGTATATATATATATACATATATATATATACATATATATGTATATATATATGTATATATATATGCCCCTGTTATGCTGTTCACGTAGGACAGTGGTTGGCAAACTCATCAGTCAACAGAGCCAAATATCAAGGGTACAACAATTGAAATTTGAGAGCCGAAAACCGACTTCTGTGCACGGGCCACGAAGTTTCAATCGCACCGTACGCGCGCGCCCACTTGGGGTATTTTGTGGAAGAGCCACACTCAAGGGGCCAGAGAGCCACATGTGGCTTGCGAGCTGCGGTTTGCCGACCACTGACTTAGGAAACTACGAGGGCTTTAGGAGCTCTGTGCCAGAACCCGAACTAAGACCAGACACGCAGTGTATCAGTGTCACATGCACCCTCTCCTGAGAGCAAAGTCTCTGAATGTGTGGCCTGTTTCCTGTGAACAGGGTATGAAGTCAGCAAACCAGATGCTCTCTCCAAGTTGGAACAAGGGGAAGAACCATGGGCCATAGAGGAACTCCACAGACTGGTCTGTCCAGGTGAGTGGGTGTGAACCAACAAGACAGGTGTGAGGGAGGAAAATCATTTCCTTTCACTCTTCTAAGTTCTTCTGGCCCTGCTAATAATCAAATCGACATGAAACAGATTAAAAGGAGGAAATAATCAAATTTGTTACATATGTACATACAGGGGCTATAAGGACAAATCAGGGGACGGAGGTAAGGATAATGAGGTGGGCAGAGTTGTGATTTGGGGCTTCAGAGGAGAGGAAGTCAATCCACATGGAGATGACCAAGCCAATATTTGATAAGTAAATGTTTGCTGGACCATCGACAATTGGACCCAGAGAGGAGTTGGATTAAAAGGGCCTTGCCAAAAATAGATCGAGACAAATGGGAGGTTAGGGTTAGGGTTAGGGTTAGGGTTAGGGTTAGGGTTAGGGTTAGGGAGCAACCAACCAAAGGACTTGTATGCATGCATATTAGCATAACCAGTGGACACAGACACTGGGGCAGTGGGGGCTTCCCAAGTTGAGAATGACTGGGGGGCAGGGTGTCAATCAAGGGAAAAGGAGGCATATGAAAACTTTAGACAATTAAGGGGGGTGGGGGGGCTTGCTAGGCTCCCCCCTGTCTATCACACCTCGATCATATTAATCTGTAGTTGTCTATGATGGTATCTCCCTTCCTGGAGCAAGCCCTCTCTCTAAATTCTTACAGGCAGTGAGGACCAATGTCAAAGCTTTTTCTTGTGTCTTTCTTTTCTTAAAAATAGCCTGCTTAAAATAATCAATATTTAGATGGCAAAATCTGCTTCCCCTCATGGGTTACTGCAGAAATCATATTCTAGTCAGAGAAGGTGGACAGGGTGGGGGGTGGGAGGTGTTTGGGGATACAGAAACAGTGCCCCCATATCTCTCCCCTTAGCAGAACTTTTCTTCAAGTCTTCAAAGGAACATAAACCTTTTTTCCCTCTTTTCTCTGGAGAACTGATCCTTGCTTATTTTATCTAACATCTTTAAAAAAATAAAAAGTGTATATTTTTATTGATTTCAGAGAGGAAGGGAGAAGGAAAGAGAGAAACATCAATGACGAGAGAGAATCATAGATTGGCTTCCTCTTCCATTGGGAATCGAGCCCACAACCTGGCCATGTGCCCTTGATTGGAGTTGAAACCAGGACCCTTTAGTCCACTAAGCAAAACCAGCTAGGGCTATCTCCACATTTTTAACTCCACTTATATCTCCAACCAGATCTTGATGACTATAATCATCTGATAGTTTATAGTCACATGTAATCATTTGATAGATTATATTCCCCAATGCATACTTTTTTCCCCCCTGCACATTCTGGATTCTAGTAATAATCCTCATCTTGATTTGAGATGTTTCTACACACCCAGTGGCTCAAGTCAAGTTAGCAGAGTAATCCTGGATTCTTCACTTTCATTAACCACTCTCCCCATAGAACCCATCATTCAGCTGTCATTACTCTATGCCAGTGGTTCTCAACCTTCCTAATGCCTCAACCCTTTAATACAGTTGCTCATTGGGTGATGACCCCCAAGCATAAAATTATTTTCGTTGCTACTTCATAACTGTAATTTTGCTACCGTTATGAATTGTAATGTAAATATCTGTGTTTTCCGATGGTCTTAGGCGACCCCTGTGAAAGGGTCGTTCGACCCCCAAAGGGGTGGTTGAGAACAGCTGCTCAAAGCAAATATATCCTGATTTCCTTCAATTTCACAATCTCCATTGCTCCTTTAATCCATGTTTAATTATCTCCAACTGCTTACTCTTCTTTTTTCTTTCCTTTTCGGTTTTCCCTAACTAGATTTAAGATCAGTGAAAGTAAGGCCTATTTTTTTTTTCTTTAATATATTTTATTGATTTTTTACAGAGAGGAAGGGAGAGAGATAGAGAGCTAGAAATGTCAATGAGAAACATCGACCAGCTGCCTCTTGTACACCCCCGACTGGGGATGTGCCCGCAACCAATGTACATTCCCTTGACCGGAATCGAACCCGGGACCTTTCAGTCTGCAGACCAACGCTCTACTGCTGAGCCAAACCGGTTTCAGCAGTAAGGCCTATTTTAAATATATTCCAAACACTAGCATAGTACCTGGTACAGGAGGCCATTCAATAAGTAATTTTGGTCTGAACAAATGCAACCCTCATCATGTGGATTAGTTTTCTCTTCCACCTCCGGGATCTGCATCTTCCTAAGTTCTGTGGAATGGTATTCCTCCAAACCTTGTCCTTTGCTGTGAAAAAATGACTTGTATTTTACTCTCTCTACATGTTTTGAAAGGTCCAAAGCAGCTAAATCTACATAAATGGTCAACTACCTTAGTGGTATGCTGCTTATTCCTTTTTGTTTGTATTATGTTTTTACAAAAGTGTAAAAAAGAAGGAACATTTACACATGGTGTATTTTTTTAAAATATATTTTATTGACATTTTTACAGAGAGGAAGGCAGAGGGAGAGAGTTAGAAACATTGATCAGCTGCCTCCTGCACACCCCCACTGATGTACCGCAACCACAGTACATGCCCTTGACCGGAATCAAATCTGGGACCCTTCAGTCCGCAGGCTGATGCTCTATCCACTGAGCCAAACCGGTCAGGGCACATGGTGTATTATTACAGTGTTATCACAGAATTGTCACTAAAGTGCCATTTAAAAAAAGAAAAGAAAAAAGAATAGTTTAAAAACAAAAAGTTTAATTCCAAACAAGCTTATAAAAAGATTCATTGTTTTCTTTCCTAGATACTGGCAAAATTGATAATTATCTTCAGGGTCACTGGGACAATCAAAGAATGTTGGAAGATATGGAACAAAAGCACAAACAAGATACATTTGGAAATATTGTTCCTCAAAGCGAAAGGCATCTTCCTTTCAGGCAAAATCATGATGTGTTTGACTTCTACATGAAAACTCTGAAATCAAATTTAAGTTTAGTCAAACAGAGTAAAAGCTATGAAACTAAGAACTCTGCTAAGTTGAATGGAGATGGAAAGTCATTTTGGCATGGCAAACATGATTTTCCTCCTGCAGTTAAATTCCCTGTCAGTGCAAAACCCATTAGCAATAAGTCCCAGGTCATTGAGCATCAGGGGACTCAGGAGGCAGAGAAAGCCCACGTGTGCAGTGAATGTGGAAAAAGCTTTGCTAGGAAATCTCAGCTCACTGATCACGAGAGAGTTCACACAGGAGAGAAACCTTATAGGTGTAGTTTGTGTGCAAGAGTATTCTCCAGAAAGTCCAGGTTCAATGAACATCAGAAAATTCATGAAAGAGAGAAATCCTTTATATGCAGTGACTGTGGCAAAGTCTTCACCCTGAAGTGCCGTCTGGTTGAACACCAGCGAACTCACAGTGGAGAGAAACCCTATGTGTGCAACGAATGTGGAAAAGGCTTCCCAGGGAAGCGTAATCTCATTGTACATCAACAGAATCACACTGGAGAGAAAGGCTACATCTGTGGTGAATGTGGGAAAGGCTTCACTGGGAAAAGCAAGCTCATCATACACGAGCGAACTCATACTGGAGAGAAACCCTACACCTGCAGTGACTGTGGGAAAGCTTTCACCACGAAGCACTATGTCTTCATACATCAACGAAACCATACGGGAGAGAAACCATACGTGTGCAATGAGTGTGGGAAAGGATTCACCATGAAGAACCGTCTGATCGAACACCAGCGAACTCACACTGGAGAGAAGCCCTATGTGTGCAGTGAATGTGGAAAAGGCTTTACCAGGAAGAGTAACCTCATTGTGCATCAGAGAAATCACACAGTAGAGAAATCCTACGTATGTGACGAATGTGGAAAAGGCTTCACTGTGAAGAGCATGCTTATCATACATCAGCGAACGCACACTGGAGAGAAACCCTACACCTGCAGTGAGTGTGGGAAAGGCTTCCCCTTGAAGAGTCGGCTGGTGGTACATCAGCGGACGCACTCTGGAGAGAAACCGTACAGGTGCGGTGAATGTGGGAAAGGGTTCATCGTGAACAGTGGGTTGATGCTACACCAGCGAACTCACACTGGAGAGAAACCCTACATATGCAATAAATGTGGAAAAGGTTTTGCCTTTAAGAGCAACCTTACGGTACATCAGCGGACTCACACTGGGGAGAAACCCTTTTCGTGCACCGAGTGTGGGAAAAGCTTCACCATGAAACGCTATCTCGTCATCCATCAGCAGATTCATACAGGAGGGAAACCCTATCGGTGTGGTGAATGTGGAAAAGGCTTTGCTGTGGAAACTGAGCTCCTTTCACATCAGCAAATCCATGCTGGAGAGAAACCTTATGTGTGCAATGAGTGCGGGAAGGGCTTTCCTGTGAAAAGTCGTCTGATCGTCCATCTACGAACTCACACAGGAGAGAAACCTTTTGTGTGCAGCGAATGTGGGAAGGGCTTCTCTTCAAAGAGAAATGTCCTTGTACATCATAGAACTCATAGTGGGAACAAACCCTAACAATGCAATGAATATGGTCACACCTTGGGGGGGAGGGGGGATATGCTTTTTACAATGTCAGACTTCACACAAAATAGACTTCTTTTATATGTACTGACTGCAGAAAATACTATTCATACAGTCTGGATCTCATGACCCACCAGGTAAGTGACATAGTAGACAGTGTATGTATGCTGTTAGTCTGAGAAAGCCTTCAACGTGGATTCAGCACACAATGTATATGAAAAAACTTATAAAAGACTCTACGGTAGGGGTGTCGAACTCAATCAGAGAAGGGGCCAAAATCTAAAATCCAGCCTAAATGGGGCCGAATGGTTTACTGAACAGTCATAAACTGTCATTGTGATGGAAACGCAGCGGAGTGCAGTGATGACAGCGCGGTACGGGCCACATTGCAAGGCCTGGCGGGACGGATTTGGCCCGCGGGCCTTGTGTTTGACACATGTGCTCTATGGAGACAATGATTGGAGTAACCTTTCATTTGTCAAGCCTTATTAATACACAAAGTGTATAGTCAAGGTACATAATCCTTTGCAGAGTCTGAATTCATTATAAGTGAACTCGTGCAAGGGACAAAGTCACACCATGATAGTTCAGTGCAGTGTGCTCCTAGCATACTTGAATATAGTCAGTGTACTTTAGCCTGTTGCTAGACTTTCACTCATGGGAAATTAAGGAATTTGCATAGGAGTGAAATTTAATGAATGCAAGGAATGTGCTAGTGCCTTAGGTAATAAATTACCTCATGCTGTATGTCAAAATTAATACGTAAGAAAAATGCAGAAAGTCTGGAGGAAACATTTCTAGGTAATGCTATGTCTGACAAGTATATGGTAATATAAATTGTATGAATAGGAACACCAGGAAAGCCTTCTGTAGGAATAAAGACTTTCTCATTAGTGATCACAATAGATCATCAGTGAGCTCGTACATATTATAGTAGTAATATGATAGCCATGGGAATACCTTTGACTAGAATTAAACCTCAGTTGCCTGATATTCATGTTAGAAAATAATTTTAGATGGCAAAGAATCTGGCAGACTTAGTCATTTCTCATGAATTCATACATCAGTAAAACTGCTCAAAACACAGTGTACAGTGACTTCAGCAAAATGTCAGAATTCAAAAAGAAAGCTTTGTGAAAATGGTGTATACTTGAGTTTTCTAAGCTAAGCCTAAATTTATTCCTGATGCCCATTCTGGGACATTATGTTTCCATTTGTGTGAGTTTTGTTTTGTGTTTTGGTGTTGAGGTCTAAGAAATGTTATCACATGTATAGATATCTGTAAATCCCGCCACAACCAGAAGGCAGAATTGTTGTGCCAACACAAATATACATCTACTTGCTTCCCCTGTGTACACACACTGTCCCCAACCCTGACCTATGGCCACCACTGATCAGTACACCATAGCTCTAATTTTTTCATTTCTAAATGCTCTTAAAATGGAATGGATGTAACCTTTGAGATAGGCTGTTTTCCCTCCACTCAGCAAATTGCTCTTAAGATCTATCCATTTTGTTGGGTGTATACCAGGTAAATAGTTTTCCTTTTTTGTTATTGAGTAGTAGTTTTCTCTATGGGTGTATAGTTAATCTGTTCACTGTTGATGAATGTTTGGATTGTTTCCAGCGTTTCATTGTTTTGAATAAAGATGTTATAAACATTGATGTACCCAATTTTGTTTTTATGGGATAAGCACCAAGGAGTCTTAAGTTAGTGTTTAACTTTATAAGAAATGCCAAACTTTTCCATAGTGATGGTACTAGTTTACTACAACCCCACCAGCAATGTCTGAGACTGGGGTCCAGGACTCTGGGTTTGCAAAATGAGCCTTGCGATGTATGTTTAAATTTGAACATCTCTGCATTTAATCCTGGATTAGTGTCTCCATCACCACCCCCCCCACTGTGTCAGCATGGATTTGGAGCAGATAGTCCTCAGCAAAGAATCAGACATGAGTGCCCAAAACTCAAACCTCATCCTTTCCCTTTCAGGTCCTGGGAACCTAGACATGCTGCCATGGCAACATCACATCAACTCATTCCTGAAACTGTCCAATCAGGGTCCCAGAACGGGCTGCTTCTGCTGCCCTGAGCACTTTAGGGTGAGATGCTGAACAACTCGCCTTTCAGAGCTTGATACACCAGGTGAACAGGACTGAATTTAATCCCTGAAGGAGATATAATACTCTTACATTAAGAAATTATGAAAACAGGCTGAAACCAGTTTTGCTCAGTGGTAGAGCGTTGGTCTGCGGACTGAAAGGTCCCAGGTTCGATTCTGGTTAAGGGCCTGTACATCAATTGCGGGCACATCCCCGGTCGGGGGTGTGCAAGAGGCAGTTGGTCAATGTTTCTCTCTCATCGACGTTTCTAGTTCTCTCTCTCCCTCTCTGTAAGAAATCAATAAAATATATTTTTAAATTATGAAAACATTATATAAATTACATAAGCAGGGGAGGATGGGGGTAAGGAGAAGAGGTCATGCATGCATATAAGCCTAACCAATGGACACAGACAACAGGAGATGAGGGCATGGGGGGGTTGGTAAGGGGAGTGATAGGGGAATAAGGACACATACGTAACACCGTAATCAATACATTGGAAAAAAAACATAAGCAATTGAACAAAAATTTTTTTAAATATATTTTTTATTAAATTATTATTTTTGTACATATACCAATACCCCCCTCCCGTACATACCCTCCCCAATTGAACAAATTTTAAATCACCCATAATTGTACCTAAGAGCCAAGCATTGTAATCTTACAAGTTTTTCAAATGTATGAAAGTATACATATATATTTTAAATATATTTTATTGATTTTTTTACAGAAAGGGAGAGTTAGAGAGATAGAAACATCGATATATATATATTTTTTTCTTTTTAATATGTTTTTATTGATTTTTACACAGAGAGGAATTGAGGAATTGAGAGGGACAGAGAGTTAGAAACGTCGATGAGAGAGAAACATCGGCCAGCTGCCTCTTGCCCACCCCCTACTGGGGATGTGCCCGCATCCAAGGTACATGCCCTTGACCGGAATCGAACCCGGGACCTTTCAGTCCGCAGGCCGACGCTCTATCCACTGAGCCAAACCGGTCCCGGCTATATATATTTTTTTAAATGTGCCCTTTTTTAGTTTGAAAACTAAGCAAAGTATGATCATTGTATTACTGTACCGGAGGATAGCTCTGCCCTGCCCTCTCAGTATCATCTCATAATTTCACATTCCCAGAGGCCCCACCATCATCACTTCCTTTTGGAGGGAAATGAACACAATTTGCCCCCTCCCTTCATCCCTTTCTGCACAGAGGAAGCTGTGTCCGCTCCCACAAGGGTACCATCATTCTGATGGAGCGCCGCCCTTTCAGGCGTTTTACTTCCCTCTAACCCACAAATGCCTCATCCGCTCCACACACAACCGCCCTGCCCGCGGACCCAAGCCTTTTACTGACCTCTCTGTCAGCTCCGCGCCCACCCCCTCTCCTCTGTCAGCTCCGCGCCCACCCTCTCTCTTCTGTCAGCCCTGCGCCCACCCCCTCTCCTCTGTCAGCTCCGTGCCCACCCCCTCTCCTCTGTCAGCTCCGCGCCCAATCCTCTCCTCTGTCCTCTCCGCGCCCACCCCCTCTCCTCTGTCAGCTCTGCGCCCACCCCCTCTCCTCTGTCAGCTCTGCGCCCACCCCCTCTCCTCTGTCAGCCCTGCGCCCACCCCCTCTCCTCTGTCAGCTCCGTGCCCACCCCCTCTCCTCTGTCAGCTCCGCGCCCAATCCTCTCCTCTGTCCTCTCCGCGCCCACCCCCTCTCCTCTGTCAGCTCTGCGCCCACCCCCTCTCCTCTGTCAGCTCTGCGCCCACCCCTCTCCTCTGTCAGCTCTGCGCCCACCCCCTCTCCTCTGTCAGCTCTGCGCCCACCCCCTCTCCTCTGTCAGCTCCGCGCCCACCCCCTCTCCTCTGTCAGCTCCGCGCCCACCGCCTCTCCTCTGTCAGCTCCGCGCCCACCCCCTCTCCTCTGTCAGCTCTGCGCCCACTCCTCCCTCTCCTCTGTCAGCTCTGCGCCCACCCCCTCTCCTCTGTCAGCTCCGCGCCCACCCCCTCTCCTCTGTCTTCTCTGCGCCCACCCCGTCTCCTCTGTCAGCTCTGCGCCCACCCCCTCTCCTCTGTCAGCTCTGCGCCCACCCCCTCTCCTCTGTCAGCTCCGTGCCCACCCCCTCTCCTCTGTCAGCTCTGCGCCCACCCCCTCTCCTCTGTCAGCTCTGCGCCCACCCCCTCTCCTCTGTTAGCTCTGCCCACCGCCTCTCCTGTCAGCTCTGCGCCCACCCCCTCCTCTGTCAGCTCTGCGCCCACCCCCTCTCCTCTGTCAGCTCTGCGCCCAACTCTCCTCTGTCAGCTCTGCCCACCGCCTCTTCTGTCAGCTCTGCGCCCACCCCCTCCTCTGTCAGCTCTGCCCACCGCCTCTTCTCTGTCAGCTCTGCCCCCAGCCCCTCTCCTCTGTCAGCTCTGCGCCCACCCCCTCTCCTGTCAGCTCTGCGCCCACCCCCTCTCCTCTGTCAGCTCCGCGCCCACTGCCTTTCCGGCGACATCTCTCTCGGCTTCTACCAGCATCCGAGACCTCAGCCAGCTCTGCGGTACGGACACTGCCTTCGTCTAAGATGGCCGCGCCCATTGGGCCCATACGCAGAGTGCGCACGGGGCGCCGCCATCTTTCCTTGTTCCGCAGCGGGCGGAGCGCGTCTTGTCGGCCTCGGATAGGCACCGCCTCTAAACCCTTACAGAGCACCCGGCCACGACGAGGGTCCCTCCAACCAGGAGGTGGCCGGGGATTGACCGCGATTTCTCCCCACAGCCGTTAGGCCGCTCCGGTCTGAACGGCGGGGTGGGCGTGGCGACGTCACAGAGCGGGGCCGTACGTCACAGAGCGGGGCCGTACGTCACAGAGGGGGGCCGCCGCTGAACCAGGAAGTCCGGCCTCGCGGACGTCCTCGCGGGACTCACCGGTGCTGCGGGTGAGCGTCCTTAGGAACCGCGGACCGGACGTGGCTTTGGACCGGGGCTCAGCCTTCCGGCCCCGCCCGCGGTGTCCGGAGGGCCCGGGGGCAGGTGAGTCCGGGCTCGGGGTCAGGGGAGCCGGGGCTTGGGGTCAGATTGGGGAACCGGGACTCGGGGTCAGGGGAACCGGGGCTCGGGGTCAGTGGAGCCGATCGGGGCTTGGAGTCAGGGGGAGCCGATCGGGGGTCGGGGTCAGATTGGGGAGCTGGGGCTCGGGGGGCGGGGGGTCGGGGGAGCCGGAGCTCGGGGTCAGGGAACCGGGGCTCGGGTCAGGGGAGCCGGGGGTCGGGGTCAGGGGAGCCGGGGCTCGGGGTCGGGGGAGCCGGGGGTCGGGGGGTCAGATTGGTGAGCCCGGGCTCGGGGTCAGGGGAGCCGGGGGTGGGAGGGGGGGTCAGGGGAGCCGGGGCTCGGGGTCGGGGAAGTCAGGGGTCAGGGGAGCCGGGGGTCGGGGTCAGGGGAGCCAGGGGTCGGGGTCAGGGGAGCCGGGAGTCGGGGGGTCAGATTGGGGAGCCCGGGCTCGGGGTCAGGGGGGCCGGGCTCGGGGCTCGGATTCTCGGTCGCGCAGCCCGTGCCGCGGGCGCGGGTGGCGGTTGCTGGGGGTTTTCCGGATTCTGTCACGAAAGGATCCGGACGTGGTGATGGGGCCCCGGGCCGGCAGGCGGGACTGAGAGGGTGAAGAAACCTCCCGCCCGGACCCCGACTCTCCGGGTTGGAGGTCCCGGTGGGTCGCTGCGCTGCTGGGACTCGGCAGCGGGTGAGAGCTGGGCCGGAAGTCTGTCGGCGGCGGCAGAGAAGCCGGGGTGTGGGGGCGCCCCTTTGGGTTTCTGGGGGCGCGTTTGGGGTTGAATGTGGCATTCGGTATAGGACCCGTCTCAAGGACGCCTGGTGGGTGGGGCTGTCCCTGTGGAGAGGTCAGGACCCTCCATCCCCCCCTCCCCCCCAGAATCATGAGTTTCTGGCTCAGACTTGGATTCCCGGAAACAGACCGGAAGGATGCCTGCCCCCAGTTAACCCACAGCCTGGTCACTCCTTCCGGTGCGAGTCCGCCCTAAAAAACGTGTGGGTCCCGCTGATGCCTGAGGGGCGTGTCCCTCTAGTCAGGACTGGAACCAAGAAGCGATCTTGGCTTCTGGCAGGAAGGAATTCAAGAGGGAACCCTGGAGGGAAGTGGAAGAGCAGGGGGTTTTGTTTTTGTGGTGAGAAAGCTTTTTTAAAGCTGGAGACAGCGAACCAGGGCTTAGGATAGGAGAAGGAACGGCAGAGAGCCTAAGCAGGGCTGCTTTTATTTCCACTTTGCTGAGAATTTTTATTATAGAGACTCGGTGCATGAATTCATGCAGGGGTCGGGCCCCTCTGGGAAGGCTGCAGAGATCAGCCAGAGAAACCTGCAGTTCAACACCGCCTGCAGCTCCTGCCTGCCTCTCCCGCTCATCCCGGCCCCACTGTGCCTGCCGCAGGCTCACCCCCAATCAGTCCTGATCAAGAGAGGCTCACCAGCCATTAGCCCTGCATCTGGTACCCTCCTAAGAGGAGTGGCCTGCGGGATCAGGCTGAAACTGGCTCTCCACCATCCTCGGAGGGGTCCTGGATTGTGAGAGGGTGCAGGCCAGGCTGAGGGCCCCCACTGGTGCACAATCAGGCAGGGAGAGACCGTAAGAGGGCTCCAGGGCATATCCGGCCCATCTCCCTCAGTCTCCATCGGCCTGACCTTAGCAGCAAGCTAACCTACCAGTCGGAACATCTGCCCTCTGGTGGTCAGTACACATCATAACGACTGGTCAACCAGTTGACTGTCTGCCCCCTGGTAGTCAGTGCAGCAAGCAGTTGAGCAGCCTTAGTAGCATATCATTAGCATAATACACCTTGATTGGTTGTTCAGTTGTTCTGACACTCGGTCTATTTGCATGTTACCCTTTTATTACATAGGATGGATACTGGGTTTTATCAAATGCTTTTTCTACATCTATTGATATGGTCGTGTGATTTTTACCTTCCATTTTGTTTATGTAATGTATCACTTTTATTGATTTGCTAATATTGTACTAACCTTGCATCCCTAGAATAAATCCCACTTGGTCATGGTGTGTGATCTTTTTAATGTATTGCTGAATCCAGTTTGCTAATATTTTGTTGGTATTTTAGCATCTGTGTTCATGAGAGCTATTGGCCTACAATTTTCTTTCTTTGTAGTGTCTCTTCCTGGTTTTGTTATTAGGATAAGGCTGGCCTAATAAAATGAGCTTGGAAGTGTTCTCTCCTCTTGAATTTTTTAATAGTTTGAGAAGGATAGGTGTTATTCTTCTTTAAATATTTGGTTAAATTCACCTGTGAAGCCATCTGGTCCAGGACTTTGATTTCTGGGAGGTATTTTTTAATTACTGCTTTGATTTCATTAGTTGTAATTACTCTATACAGATTTTCTGATTCTTCCTGACTCAGTTTTGGAAGACTGTATATTTCTAGGCATTTATCCATTTCGCCCATGTTTTCCAACTTGTTGCAATATAGTTCATCATATTTTCCTTTTTTAATATATTTTATTGATTTTTTACAGAGAAGATAAGAGAGGGATAGAGAGTTTAAAACACCGATGAGAGAAAATCATCGATCAGCTGCCTCTTGCACACCCCCTACCGGGGATGTGCCCGCAACCAAGGTACATGCCCTTGACCAGAATCGAACCTGGGACCGTTCAGTCCAGGGCAACGCTCTATCCACTGAGCCAAACCAGTTTCGGCCATCATATTTTCTTAGAATCTTGTGTATCTCTGTGATGTCAGTTGTTACTTGTCTTTCATTTCTGATTTTATTTATTTGAATCCTCTCTCTTTGTTTTGGGATGAATCTGGCTACAGGTTCATCTATGTTTATGTTTTTAAAGAACCAACTCAAGCCGAAACCGGTTTGGCTCAGCGGTAGAGCATCTGTCTGCGGACTGAAAGGTCCCAGGTTCGATTCCGGCCAAGGGCATGTACATTGGTTGTTTTCACATCTCCGGTAGGGGTGTGCAAGAGGCAGCTGGTCGATGTTTCTCTCTCATCGATGTTTCTAGCTCTCTATCTCTCTCCCTTCCTCTCTGTAAGAAAATCAATAAAATATATTAAAAAAAAAAACAACCAACTCTGCTTGTTTTTTTTTATTACTTGATAGCTAATTTCCTTTGATTGCTTAGTAATATTTGATTGTCTAAAGATGATATAAACATCTATAATCATATTTCTGAGTAGACATAAATTTTTATATCATTTTGGTAAATACCAAGGAATGTGCTTTTGAGATCTTACTAGAGTATATTTAGTTTTGAAAGAAACTGCCAAAGTGACATATGTCTAACTACAGACATTGTCCAACAGGGTGAAAGCCTCTGGGACACCAGAATATTGGGGTCCTGCCCTAACTGATTTGGCTCAGTGGATAGAGCATTGCCCTGCGGACTGAAGGGCCCCAGGTTCGATTCCGGTCAAGGGCATGTACCTTGGTTGCAGGCATGTCCCCAGTAGGGAGTGTCCAGGAGGCAGCTGATCAATGTTTTTCTCTATCCCTCTCCCTTCCTCTCTGTAAAAAATCAATATTTCATAAATATATATATATATATATATATATATATATATATATATATATTTATTTATTTATTTATTTTTTTTTAAGAATATTGGGGTCCTTCCTTTAAGCATTGTATATGGTAACAGTGACAACATCTGGGCCCAGAAGGAATGTTCACTCAATGTCAATTTGCTCCTCAGCCCACAGGTCCTGGCTCCCCAACAGTAAGAGGCATCCCGTAAAGGAATGGAGGAAGAAAAAGGAGGCTCTTCGACTTGGATACCATATTTCTGGGGACAACTTTAACTGGATACCTAGATTTCTAACTCTACGAACTTGATGGCAGAGGCAGACGACACAGCAACATAGAATCCATGGAACTCAGTATTTCCTGAGCACAGCAGAAAATGATGGGAGCCCAGGTAATTTGTTATTTCTTTTCCTTTCCTTGGTTTTCTTACAGGTTTGTGGAGACATTAAAAAAAAATCAACTAGCCCTGGCCAGCTTGCAGACTGAGGGGTCCCGGGTTCGATTCCTGCCAAGGGCACGTGCCAGGGTTATAGGCTCGATCCCCAGTAGGGGGTGTGCAGGAGGCAGCTGATCAATGTTTCTCTCTCATCCATGTTTCTAACTCTCTATCCCTCTCCCTCTCTGTAAAAAAATCAATAAAATACATATATATTTTTAAAAAAGAATGCCATCATAAAATGTAAATAAATAAAATCAACTAATTAAAGGATAAATTGGGATAATTGGGTTCTGGATAAATTAACTTAGTCTCAAATTTAAAATTAGGACATAGATCAGGAAAACACTCTTTCTCTTCCCGGGGTCATTCTAAATGACTAATATTGGAACACAGTGTGTGGTGTGGTGGATTCTCTGGGTCACATCAACTGTCACTTTGCCTCTAATATTTCAGTTCTGTGCACTGTGCTAGCAAATGACTGAACCCAAGAAGAAGGTTATGGGAACCTCAGATTTGTATTCAGTCAGACAGTGGGGTTCCTGGAGAGCCACGAAGATTGATGTCTGAAGTGTGGACAGTCTTGTGGAAATGATTAACCCTTAACCTGTGACATCTGTACTCCAGGCAATTAGTGCCAGAATTTCTTGCTGTGGAAAACCCACACATCAGCCCTAGCCGGTTTGGCACAGTGGATAGAGCATTGGCCTGTGAACTGAAAGGTCCCAGGTTTGATTCCGGTCAAGGGCACATGCCAGGGTTGTGGACTGGATCCCCAGTACAGAAGGCAGCTGATCAATGATGCTTTTTCATCATTGATGTTCCTCTCTCTCTCCCTCTCCCTCTCCCTCTCCCTCTCCCTCTCCCTCTCCCTCTCTCTCTCTCTCTCTCTCTGTCTCTCTCTCTGTCTCTCTGTCTTCCCCTCTCCGAAATCAACAAAAATCTATTTTTAAAAAGTCAATGAAAACATATTTCTTTAATATATTTTATTGATTTTTACAGAGAGGAAGGGAGAGAGATGTTATTTTTTTATACTTATTAAAAACACTTGTCTTGTAAATTCTGGCTGTGGAGTTTTGTTGTAATGTAGGAATATTTTATTTGTCCCGATGTTATTTGTACATTATTAGTATTTGGAAATATTATATGTGCCAAACTATATGTATTATATAAAAAGAAAGATAGGATTTTGTTTTTACTAAAATATATTTGAGGAAGGTATATAGATGCAGGCTATGTGATAAAAACTAGAATTGTCCTCATGCATTTTTTTATATGTTATTTATTTATTTACTTTTAATATATTTTATTGATTTTTATTTATTTAATTTTTTTTTTCAGAGAGGAAGGGAGAGGGACAGAGATAGAGAGTTAGAAACATCGATGAGAGAGAAACATTGATCAGCTACCTCCTGCACACCCCCGCACTGGGTATGTGCCCGCAACCTAGGTACATGCACTTGACCGGAATCAAACCCGGGACCCTTGAGTCCGCAAGCCGACGCTCTATCCACTGAGCCAAACCGGTTAGGGCTGTCCTCATGCATTTTCCATGTTAGTAAAGGGAGTGGATCTCACAGTAAACAGGGCCGTGTTGTTACAGGAATTGCTGACGCTGGAGGACGTGGCTGTGGAGTTCAGCTCGGAGGAGTGGCGGCTCCTGGGCCCCGCTCAGAAAGCCCTGTACCGGGATGTGATGTTGGAGACCTATAACTCCCTGGTGTCCCTGGGTAAGGAGGGCTCCCCGTGTCACTTAGAGGTGTCCCGTCACCGGCCTCTGCTCTAGTACCTGACGAAAGCTTTGTAGCCACTGTGGCCATCTGAAGAGTCAGCGGTTTTCATCCCCCCCCCCCCCCCTTGGCCCCAAGCAGAGGGGTGTAATCTCCTCTCTCCCGAAAGAGAACTTTTACTTGGCACGTGAGAAACTGTACTATTTCCCATCTTCACATACTACACCGCATCCGCGTCACTGTATCTATGTCTTGTGTCATTTCTCCTGATCAGGCTACCGCATTGCCAAGCCAGATGTTCTGTCCAAGTTGGAACATGGAGAAGAACCACGAATAGGGGATGGTATCTATACAGGAAGCTGGGCAGGTGAGTGAGTGAGAGAACCAGCAAGGGGTGGCCCTGGGATATTCTAGTCATTAAGAGAAGGGCTCGCTCAGCCAGCAAGGCTCAGGGTTTGATTCCCGGTCAGGGCACATGCCTGGGTTCTGGGCTTGATCCTCCGTGTGGGGCGTGTAGGAGGCAGGCGACCAATGATTCTCTCTCATCATTGATGTTTCTATCTCTCTCCCTGTCCCTTCCTTTCTAAAATAAATATATATATATATATATATATATATATATATATATATATATATATGTATATATATATTTTTTTCTTTTCTTTTTTTTCTTTTTTTTTTTAAGAGAGAAGGGCTCGCAGCTCTGAGGGGGTGTGAGGATAGCTAAACGGCTCCTCCACATATGGATCTCCCGAGAGAAGAACTCTTCCTCTTTGTGGCTGTTTTTGCTTTAAACATACTCTTTTTTTCTTCTTGGATCTGATACTGTTTCACCTTGCATCTTGATGGGATGGTTGACAATGAAGAGTCAGTCTCACCCACATCATCTTCTAAGCACTTTTATTCTTTTGTTTGTTTGTTTTTGTTAATGCTCACCCGAGGATATTTTTTTTTCATGATTTATAGAGAGTGGGGGAAAGGAAGAAGAGAGAGAGAAAGACATCGATGTGGGAAAGACACATAGATTGGTTGCCTCCCACATGCCCCCCAACTGTGGCTAGGGATTGAACCTGTGACCCAGGTACCAGTCCTTGACTGGGAGCCTGCAACCCTTCAGTCCACAGGCTGATGCACAGGCCACTGAGAAACACTGGCCAGAGCTAAACACTTTTATTCTAAGAAATGTGTTATTCTCTCTTTACTAGGAATCAGGAACGTTGGCAGCTGTCTGCAGGAGCATCCTCACAACCAAATAGTTCTGGAGAGCATACAACAATGCAATGGAAGGAGTGCACTCAGAAATACTTTTCGTCTGAGCAGAGCCAATATCGCCATAATGCGTAATCGTATGTTGGAATTGTGTAGGAAGGCTCTGAAATCAAGTTTACCCAACCAGAAGCATAGATATGAAGTCAAGAACGCCACTGAGTTTAATGGAGATGAGAAATCCCTTCTACCCGGTAATCACGAACAGTTGTGCACTGGCACGGAAATCCCTAAAAGTGAAGAACACAGCGGCACTGAACCGCAAGCCTTTAAAAAGCATCAGGAGACTCATAAAACAGAGAAATCCCAAGAAGCATCCATCCGAGGAGAGGAAGCCTCCATTGGCACAGCTCAGCTCGTTGACCACGGGGGCCTTCCTTCAGGGGAGGGAAGCCACGGGTGTGACTCATGGAAATCCTCCAGAAACGTCGTTCTCACTCCACATCAGAAAACTCAAACGCAAGGCAAGCTCAGTACAACCCCCGAACACGGACCGGGCGCTCCCGTGAACCCCGGGCTCACCGGACGCCAGCAGACCCATTCCGGAGAGAAGCCCTACGTCTGCGGCGACTGTGGGAAAAGCTTCACGGTGAGGCGCTACCTGATGGCACACCGGCGAACCCACAGCGGAGAGAGGCCTTACGTCTGCCACGAGTGCGGGAAGGGCTTCACGGTGAAGAGCAACCTCACGGTGCACCAGCGGACCCACACGGGGGAGAAGCCCTACGTGTGCCCCGACTGCGGGAAAGGCTTCACCATGCGGCACTACCTGGTGGTGCACCGGCGGACCCACACCGGGGAGAAGCCCTACATGTGCGACGCGTGCGGGAGGGACTTCGCTGTGAAGAGCAACCTCGTCGTCCACCAGAGGTCTCACACGGGGGAGAGATCCCACGTGTGCGGCGAGTGTGGCAGGGGCTTCGCCGCGAAGCGCAAGCTCACGCTGCACCAGCGCACCCACACGGGGGACAAGCTGTACGTGTGCGAGGCGTGCGGGAAAAGCTTCACCGCCAAGTGCACCCTCGTCATCCATCAGCGGACTCACACCGGGGAGAAGCCCTACGCGTGCGAGGCCTGCGGGAAGGCCTTCAGCCAGAGGGTCAGCCTCAGGCAGCACGAGCGATGTCACACCGGGAAGACGCCCTTTGTCTGCGGGGAGTGCGGGAAGCAGTATTCGCACAGATACGGCCTCATGACCCACCAGCGGAGCCACACGGGGGAGAAGCCCTACCAGTGCAGGGCGTGTGGGAAAGCCTTCGCCACCAAGTCGGTCCTCAACGTCCACCAGCGGACGCACTCGGGGGAGAGGCCCTACGGGTGCGGCACGTGTGAGAAAGCCTTCTCCCAGTTGTCGCACCTTGTTAAGCATCAGAAAACGCACGCAAGGCCGAAACCGGAGTGGCTCAGTGGATAGCGCGACGGCCTGCGGACTGAAAGGTCCCAGGTTCGATTCCGGTCAAGGGCATGTAGCTTGGTTGCAGGCACACCCCCAGTTGGGGATGTGCAAGAGGCAGCTGATTGATGTTTCTCTCTCATTGATGTTTCTAACTATCCCTCTCTGTAAAAAATCAAAACTATATATATTTTTTTTTAAAAAAAAAGAAAGAGAAAGAAAACACTTGCAAGACAAATGGTAGATTCATTCAAGTCGGGAATTCCTTTAACGAGAGTCACAGGGGAGTCACCTGTGAGTGAAGTCGTGCAGAACAACACACCTATTAATGCCATTTCTGTGGAATGCCTTCTCGGCCTCGTTAAACATCGGTGTTTCTGGCAGGTCAGAATGCAGACACGGCAATGCCTATTGTCAAAGGTGTGTCCTGAGGCGATGAACTTGGTGCCCAGGAGGCTGACTTGGTGAATTACAGTGACTGTGGCAGTGCCCTGACCAATCCTTACCTCGCATTTTCTGTCAGTGAAAACATGTTGGAAAAACTTGGACAGGTCCCATGTGAATATGCCTTTCCAGCTTCATTATATGTCTCAGCAAGCTTTCCAGCTTCAATATATGCATGAAAAGTGTACCTTGAGAGAAATTCTGTGACTACAGAGACGAGTTAAGCCTTCGATGGGAAGGCAGACTTTATTATCAGGGATTGTCATCAATCATCAGTGTGCTCGTCAGTTTGCGGAAATATGAAAAACAGACAAAACAATAAGAATAAAAACAAAGAAATGGGGTTACCATGGGAAAGCCTCCACCCAGAAAGAAGACCTCAGTGAGAGCGTTCACACTGGAAACAAACCTTAAGAGAACGGCACATGTTTGACAATTTCATTCTATCCCATTGTTTGAAAATCATATAGAAGTTAAGGCATTCTATCCCATGGTTTGAAAATCTTATAGAAATTAAGGCTTTATTAACATAATAAATTTAGAGCACTTTTAGTCAAATGTCAGAGAACTTACAAAGGAAAGAAGTTCTATGAAAAGGGATGATGTTTGAGTGGGGGGTGGTTGTTTGTCTTTTAAAGACCAAACTGCTACACCCCTGCTGGTGGTGGTTTTTATTTTGAATCTATACCAATGGTTCTCAAACTTCAGCATGCTCCGTTTCTTTTAACTATATTTTTCATTGATTTCCGAGAGGAAGGGACGGGGGGGGGGGGAGAGAGAGAAACATCAATGGTGAGAGAGAATCATTGATCGGCTGCCTCCTGCACGCCTCGCCCCCTACCTGGGATCAAGACGGCTCAACAGTGGGAATGGAACCATGACCTGGTTCACAGTTCCACACTCAACCACTGAGCAACACCAGCTGGGCTGAGTGCTCTCTATTAGTAGTCTAACTTCATTTTACATTAGATAATTCACCTGAAAAAACTAGTGTGCTTTTCTCATTCCTGGTTAATTTTTACTGTTAAATGCAACACAGGAGTGTTCTATGGAGTATTCTGTGACCTCATATGATTACCTCTCACCTTTTTTTTAGCTCTAAACTTAATTGTAAGTTTTGTCATACAGAAATAGTTTAAAAGGAAACATTACTTTAAATTTATAAATATACCACAAATTTATACTTATCCAATCAAATTATAAGTATGGCAAAATATTTTTGTTGGTTTCAGAGAGGAAGGGAGAGGGAGAGAGGGAGAAACACCAATGATGAGAGGGAATCATTGATCGGCTGCCTCCTGCACGCCCCCTACTGGCGATGGAGCCTGCAACCCGGGCATGTGCCCTTGGCCAGAATCAAACCTGGGACCCTTCAGAGCGCAGGCCAACTGCTCTATTCACTGAGCCACACCAGCTAGGGCTAAATATTTTATAAAACCACCTTCTAAGTTATTTTTATAAAATGTTTAATTTGAAATTATTTTAATTTACAAGAAATTGCAAAAACAGTCCATAGTCTTTTCTAGTATTCTTTACCCAGCTACTTCCAGTAAAAACAGCTGATAAAACCATTTTTTATTGAATCCAGAAAAATGACATTGGTAGTATACTGTTAATGAGACTTTTAACATTATTTGGGTTCTATTAGATTTCACATGTATTTTTTTAACGTTTGACTTCTAAGCTTTGTTACCGTATATAGATCCACATAACCACAACCCTGATGGAAATTTGCTTCATTCACAGACTCCCCTCTGCTAACATTTTTCAGGCTCATATCCTCTATGTAAATCTACCTCTGGCAAACACTTGACCTGTTTTCCATCAGTTTAATTTTGTCATTTCACGAATGTTGTGGAAGTCGTTTTTATAATTGGATTTTATACATTTTATATAAATCAATTGTATTTATTTGTACAAGTTTATAATGTTTTACTAATAGGGACCATGTAAGCATTTTGTGTTTTTGTCACTTGGCAAATTGCTCTTGATTATTTCAGTTGAGAAGTTTTCTTTTTATTAGTGAGTACATGCATACATTGGATATACCAGTTTGTTTAGCCATTCTAACTCGTGAAAGAGATTTGTATTGTTTCCTGGTTTCAGCTGTTATAAATCATAATGATGCTATGAAATCTGCATCCAGGGTTTTGTGTGAATGTGAATGTCTATTCCTCTACAATACATATGTAGATAATAATCATTGGGATATTTGGTAAGTTATATTTAGCTTTATAAGAAATTACCACCTTATCAGTTTGGAATTGGAATTGCGCCATTTCATTGATAAAGAAAACTAAGTATATTGTTGCACTTTTAAGTTTTCAAAACAGTGTTGAAAAATTGCATTGTTTTTATTTTTTTTAAACTCAGTTAAAAGACTAAACTGTTCTTTCAAAAGAGGCATCTAAATGTGTTCCTAATTTTGTATATGGGCTTAGGTTTTGTAACCAATAAAAAAAAGCTGCTATCAAATATGATAAAACATTGAAAAAAAAGAAAAAAGAAAAAGAAATTACCAAACTCTTCCAGAATGGCTGTACTATTTTACATTCTCTCTTTCTCTTTTTTTTTTTTTTTAATATATTTTATTGATTTTGTACAGAGAGGAAGGGAGAGAGATAGAGAGTTAGAAACATGGATGAGAAACATCGATCAGCTGCCTCTTGCACACCCCCTACTGGGGATATGCCCTCAACCAAGGTACATGCCCTTGACCGGAATCGACCCTGGGACCCCACAGTCTGCAGGCTAACACTCTATCCACTGAGCCAAACCAGTCAGGGCTGGCCTCACTTTTTGAGGGCTTTCTCTGAGGCCCCGTCTCAATGACAACTTCAGCTGCTCCCGGCAGCTTTTGCCTGAGTGCTGATGGCCAGCCTCACACTGTGCCAGTTTCTCAAAATCTTTTTCTGTTCTGAAAAACCACTTCCTGCGACAAAATTTCCCCCAGAAGCTTCCTGTTGGAGTCTGTTTACTAGGCATATGACCTTTTCTCTTTGCAGAATTTTATTCTCTGCTGCTATAGCAACAACTGAGCTCAAGATGGCATGGAAACTGTGTGTGTGTGTGTGTGTGTGTGTGTGTGTGTGTGTGTGAGAGAGAGAGAGAGAGAGTGTGTTTAATGTCGGGGATGGTCAGAGAGAGGTCAATGGGAGACTAGTTTAAACAATAAAGAATTTAAATTTTAAAAAAAATGTGTACAGACTGTAAAATAAAAGCTGCATTCATGCCCTGACTGGTGTGGCTCAATCGGTTGGAGCACCATCCGGTGCACAGGACAGGTCATGGGTTCCATCCTTGGTGAGGGCAACTAGCAGTTTCAGGTTTGAACCCCTGTCCATGGAGCAAAGGCATTCATGGATCTCTCTCATCGGTGTTTCTGTCCCCTCCCTTCTCCTCCCCTGCCTCCCCTATTCTCTGCTGTCTCTCACTCTCCTTCCCCTTTCCCCTCTCTCCTTCCCTCTCTGGGGAAAAAAACAAACACAAAACAAAAAAAACTTGCTGTCATGACTTCTTTGCTCAGATGGCCCAATGCAATTCAGCTTGCCTTTTTTTTTTTTTTTTTTAGTTTTTTAAATATAGTTTTTTTTGTTTTTGTTTTGTTTTTGTTTTTTGGTTTTTTTTAGAGAGGAAGAGAAAGGGAGAGGGAGAGAGAGCTAGAAACATCAGTTAGAGAGAAACATCGATCAGCTGTCTCCTGCACACTTCCCCCTGGGGATGTGCCCACAACCAAGGTCCATGCCCTGGACCTGAACCGAACCGGGGCCCCTTCAGTCCGCAGGCTGACGCTCTACCCACTGAGCCAAACCAGCTTCGGTTCAACTCGCTTCTTATTTGCTTCTTGATGCTTGAGTCTCTGAAAATACACTCACTTTAAACAAGAGTCAAAGATAAGGTGACCAGACGTCCCGATTTTTAACAATTTTCTCGCGTCCCGCGGCGATTCTTTAAAAAAATCGGAACTTTTTAAAACGCCGCGGGGCGCGGGACACATTGTTAAAAATCGGGACGTCTGGTCACCTTAGCAAAGAGCTCAGGAACAAGATTAAATTCGCGAGCTTCTCACTGCCAGCCATCGCTGGCTACTGGGTCCTAAGTCCCCGCTTTGCTTTCCGTACGGCAAGTCAGGCCTCCCAACATGGCGGCCCCCGTGCGGCGGCGCCGCGGCAAACAGGGCGCCGCCATATTGCCGGGGCGGGGAATGCGGAAGTCGCTCGCGGTTCTGCAAAGGCCTCGGGTTCTCGCCCGCCGCCACCGGATGACGACATATCTGAGCGCCGCTGGCAGCCGCCGAGGCCGTTTGCGGAAGTGTGGTGGCGAGGCGCTCCCGGGGCCTGGGGAAAGCAGGTCAGTGCGCGCTGGTCCTTTCAAGTTTATAAAAAACGTTTTGCCTCCGGTGACATTCGCCAGAGGTTCGCCTGGAAGGGGGGCGCCTGGGCCCCTGTGGGGAGCGCCGGGATGTTGGGAGGAAGCCGGGGTGACGCTCCTGCCTGCGGTCGGGGTGCCTTTGGGGTCAACAGGTCCCGGCTGTCAGGGCCTGTGCGGGGCTCTGGGAGGGACCGGGGGCATTTCGGATGGTCGCGGAGACGGGTTGCGGTTCGAGGTGTCCCGTGGGGGTCAGGGAAGTGGGGGCGGCGTGCGTGTCGTCTGGTCCGGGTTCGGGGACGATGACGGGCGTGGGGTCCGGGTTCGGGGACGATGACGGGCGTGGGGTCCGGGTTCGGGGATGATGACGGGTGTCGGGTCTGGGTTCGGGGGTAATAACGGACGGGTGATCAGGATCTCGCCAGGGCTTCTGGCCCAATATTCGGAATAATAACGGGCGGGTGATCCGGGTCTCGCAAGGCGAAAGCTCAAGCCGCCCGGGCCCGGCTGGGGGGTGGGCTGAGGTTCCGTTGGGCGGGGACGGCCTCCTGGCTGGAGTCTGAGGCGGTTTGCACTTGGGCTGGTGATGGATGGCATCGCTGCTGTGGACGTTCTTGGCCGTGTGTTCGGGGCCGATGTGTCCTTATTTTGGGGGGATGTGTAGCTCAGATGTAAACCGCAGAGAAGGAGGCAAAGCCCAGGCACGTAGTGAGAAACCTGCCTTTAAAAAAAAAAAATATATATATATATATATATATATATATATATATATATATATATATATATATATATAATCTTTTAATTGATTTTTTACAGAGAGGAAGGGAGAGAGATAGAGAGCTAGAAACACCGATGAGAGAGAAACAACGACCAGGTGCCTCCTGCACACCCCCCACTTCTTCTTCCCCCCACTGCCAGCATGGATATATGTGTCCCCGAGTTGTTTTTTAAAAAGACGCCCTTTCCCTCCTCTCTGAGAGCTGCCTGTGTCATCACGTCTCTGTCTGTATGTGCGTCTGTCTGTCTACAGGCATTTCATTCTGTTCCTCGGTTGACTGGTCTGTTGTACTAACGTGGTCTGTCGTAATTAAAGTGGTTCGAAGCCCTCGTCACTAATGGAGCAACTCTTTTCTCCTATTTTCAAAGGTGTGGATAGCTGTCAGTCAGGGATTTTGATTGGGATTTCATTGGGTCTTTATATACATTTGGGAGACATGGCATCGTTAAACTGTTCGGTTTTCTGAGTCATCTTCACAATCATCTATTAAAATTTACTTCAACATTTCTTGCTACCTTTAAAATATTTTTGATGTCCTTCCAAATAACAGGTTACACATGTTATTTTGTTTGTTGAGGGCCTGTGTGTCTGGCAGTTACTGTGGGAAGGATGTTGAAATCTTGTACTATTAGTTTGAGTTTATTACTTCTGCTTTTTTGGTCCATTTTTACTCTATACATGACAAGGCTTTACTACTACCCTGTTTCCCCGAAAATAAGACAGTTTCTTATATTAATTTTTGCTCCCAAAGATGCGCTAGGTCTTATTTTCGGAGGATGTCTTATTTTTGGGGAAACACGGTAGGTGCATAGGGACTGCAGACTTAGTTACACCAGATTATTTGTGGTGACTCTTTACATGACTATCTTTTTCTAACCTTTTCATTCAGGCTTTCCATATCATTATGTTTCAGATGTGTCACCTGTAATGGCAAGTTATTCCGTTGTAGATTTTAATTGAGTATGACAGGTTTTTAAAAACATTTTATTGATTTTTTTACAGAGAGGAAGGGAGAAGGATAGAGAGTTAGAAAGAAACACCAATCAGCTGCCTCCTGCACACCTCCCACTGTGGATGTGCCCGCAACTAAAGTACATGCGCTTGACCGGAATCGAACCTGGGATCCTTGAGTTTGCAAGCCGACACTCTACCCACTGAGCCATACCTGTTAGGTTGAGTATGACAGTTTTGAGGTATTTGTATTTAATGTAATTAATGAGAATTTTTGTTTGGCATATACTTAATATAATTTTAGCATGTTTTATTTATTTTAAAAATAAATATATATTTTTAATTTTTAAAAATTGATTTGAAAGAGAGAGGGATAACACTTATGTATGCATTCATTGGTTCCACTTATATATGCATTCATTGGTTAATATTTGTATGTGCTCTGACCCAGAATCAGTCTTGGCATATTTGGATAATGCTCTAACCCAGTGGTCAGCAAATCGTGGCTTCCGAGCCACGTGCGGCTCTTTGGCCCCTTGAGTTTTTAGCAAAGGCCAGCTTAGGAGTCCCCTAATTAAGTTAATAACCATGAACCTACCTATATAGTTTAAGTTTAAAAAATTTGGCTCTCAAAAGAAATTTCAATCGTTGTACTGTTGATATTTGGCTCTGTTGACTAATGAGTTTGCCGACCACTGCTCTAACCAACTGAGCTAGTTTTGAAACAGTCCCCTAAGTGTGTCATTATTATCTTTTCCATATTTTATTTCTGTCACTTTCTCACTATCTGTTTTTTCAATGTTTCGGACAATTTTAAAAAATATGTTTTTATTGATTGTAGAGAGAGAGAAAAACATCAATCGGTTTCCCCCCATACACACATGACCAGGATTCAAACTGGCAACCTTACATGGGATAATGCTCAGATAATTGAGCCACACTGGCCAGGGCTCAGGTGTTGTTTTAAAATCATATTTTCTCCATCCATTAGCACATAAATTATATACTTCAAGAAAACTGTTAGTTTTAATATATATATACACACACAATATATATATTATTGATTTTTTTACAGAGAGGAAGAGAGAGGCATGGAGAGTTAGAAACATCGATGAGAGAGAAGCATTGATCAGCTGCCTCCTGCACACCCCATACTGGTACCAAGGTACATGCCCTTGACCAGAATCAAACCTGGAATCTTGCAGTCCACAGGCTGACACTATCCCCTGAACCAAACTGACCAGGGCAAAATTATTCGTTTTTATTGTGACACTAGAAACTGCATACAACCTGGAACTTTGTTAAATTCTTGTCTTTTGCCGGCACCGGTTTGGCTCAGTAGATAGAGCCTCGGCCTGCGGACTGAAAGGTCCCAGGTTCGATTCCGGTCAAGGGCATGTACCTTGGTTGCGGGCACATCCCCAGTGGGGGGTGTGCAAGAGGCAGCTGGTCGATGACTCTCTCTCATCGATGTTTCTAACTCTCTATCCCTCTCTCTTCCTCTCTGTGAAAAATCACAGGCCAGCGCTCTATCCACTGAGCCAAACCGGTCTCGGCAAATTCTTGTCTTAAATAGTACTTTATACTCTTCTCTGACAATACAGGGATCTTAAAGAACTTCAAGCCCTAGCCAGTGGAGGGTGTGTAGGAGGCAGCTGAGCAATGCTTCTCTCTCATCGATGTTTCTAACTCTCTCCTTCTCCCTTTCTCTCTGTAAAAAATCAAAATATATTAAAGAAAAAAAGAACTTAAAATTCATTTATCACATTGCAATTCATGTACCATCTGGGGTATTTTAGTATGTATTCAAGACCCCTAAGATATTATCATTTTTGCTTATGCGACACAGCTGAGGGCTTGCTCAGTGCACTGGTTTTCCACCTGAAACGTGAGCAGAAACGTTTGAAGAGGCACCTGAGCACACAGCTTTCAAGGGAAACAGGGCCCAGACCCTCTCCTTCCCCAGGCTCTGCTGTGTCTGATTTTCCTGATGCTCACCTGCTCCTGGGGCCTCGGGCGGGATGGATGTCACAGGTCTCCTGTGACACTCACCCCACTTACCCTCCACAGGAAAAGGGTGCCTCCTCACAGGTGGAGCCTGAGGCTCTCCTGCCAGAAGAACATGCTTCGGAACACCATGTGAAGGGACACTAGCGATCCCGTGGCCTTGGGTGAGGGGAGTGCTCAGAGCAGAGGAGCGGTGGGGCCCAGAGGAAATGCCCACCCGTGGGGCTCTCTCCTCCGTCCCCAGGAGCAATAGATCCTCGTGAAGCGGGGGATCAGCATTTCTGTGACGCCGTGACTGCAGGCGGTTTCTGTACAGAAATACAGAGCAGACCCAGCACGCCAGGGCAGGGCCTTGTCCTCGCAGCTCAGAGAGCAGAAGGAAATGCGCCGGGCTCAGGGGGTTGCGTTTGTTTCATCCTTTCTTGTCTTCATTAATGGATGTCTAGAGGCCGATAAAAACCTTGAAAAAACTTGTAAATGTGAAAACTATGCATATACTATATGTATATCTTTTTCCTCCCTCAAATACGAAGTGGTGTTTCTAGGTTAAGAACATTTTTTTACATCCTACCTAATAAAACAGTAATATGCAAATTAACCATTACTCCGCTATACCCACAAACCACACCCACTAACCATGCCTACCAGCCAATCAGAGTGAGTATGCAAATTAACACCAACCAAGATAGCTACCAGGATAGAGGTTTGGGTTTCCTCAGCAACACAGGAAGCCAAGCTTTCCACACACCCTGGCGGTTTCAATTATAGAAGGTAAACAAATCCAAACAGAATTGGCAGCAGCCATGGATCGTGCAGGAGGCTTAGCTCTGCTCCAGGCTACAAAGTTTTAATTGTAGAAGGTAAATAAATTCCAAATACCAGAGTCGGCAGGGGCGTGGCTGGCCTGCAAACCACCACAGTCCCCTCGACCAGGCCACCTCACGCCCCAAGGGAACCCCATCCTGATCTGGGACACCCTTCCTGGCAAACCAGCTGGCCCCCACCTGTGCACCAGGCCTCTATCCTAACTAATAAAAGAGTAATATATATGCAGATTGACCATCACTCCAACACTTGACAAAGATCCTGCCCCCATGTGAACACAGGATGGCCAGCAGGGAGGGCTGTTGGGAGGGACCAGGCTTGCAAGGGAGGGCAGTTGAGAGGGACCAGGCCTGCAAGGGAGGGCAGTTGGAGGCAATCAACCCTGCAGGGGAAAGCAGTTAGGGGTGACCAGGCTGGCAGAGGAGGGAAGTTGGGGGCAAACAGGCTGGCAGGGGAGCAGTTAGACATCAATCAGGCAGGCATGGGAGTGGTTAGGGTGATCAGGGTGGCAGGCAGAAGTGGTTAGGGAAAATCAGGAAGGCAGGTAGGTGAGCAATTGTAGCCTGTTAGGGTGATCAGGGTGGCAGGCAGAAGTGGTTAGGGAAAATCAGAAAGGCAGGTAGGTGAGCAATTGTAGCAAGCAGTCCTGGATTGTGAGAGGGATGTCCGACTGCCCGTTTAGGCCCGATCCCACCTAAACGGGCAGTTGGACATCCCTCGAGGGGTCCCAGATTGGAGAGGGTGCAAGCTGGGCTGAGAGACACCCCTCTACCCCCATGCATGAATGTTGTGTGCCAGGCTTCTAGTATCATAGAAACTTCTAGTTGGATGAATGCATGAATGTCTGAATGCATAATTAAAAAATACAAGATGGGGCAAAGTTTTTGAGTATACAAACTACAATTTATTCTTATATTATTTATTAATTATTGCATCATATTTTTAAACTATGTTTTCATTGACCAGAGAGAGAAAGATAAATAGGGAGGGAGAGAGAGAGAAACACCCATGAGGGAGAACCATTTATCAGTTGCCTCCTGCATGCACCTACTGGTGATCAGGCCTGCAACTGGTCGTGTGCCTTGGCCAGAAATTGAACCTTTGGCCTCCTTGCATGGACAATTAAGTTATCAAACTACTGGCCAGGGCAATTATTGTATTATTTTTCACATGAGCAATAGCAAACCTACTTTTGCCCCACCCTGAGTTTTGCTAGGCATGTCGTTATTCAACTACATATATTGTAAAATAAAACCCCAGTTGCTACATAGATGCAGCTTATAGAGTGAACATGAGCAGGAAAACTAACATTTCTTCCATATCATCTAAAGGACATCGCGCCATCGCACAGCATGGAGTTGTCACAGGGATCCCTGACATTTCTCGATGTGGCCGTGGACTTCGCCCGGGAGGAGTGGCGGCTCCTGGGCCCCGAGCAGAAGGACCTGTACAGGGACGTGATGCTGGAGACCTACCGCCACCTGGTGTCCGTGGGTGAGGACAGCTCCCCCGTGTCACTCAGCGGGTGCCCTGTTTTTCCTTTCTCAGCTGCTTAACTTCACAATAACTCCAGTTCTCTGAGATGAGGGATCTCAGGTCCTTCTCTTGGGCCAGACGGGAGAGAAAAGTTTTTGTGTGACAGATGGGAAACCTGCTCATTCCTTGAGATGTTACATTCTCCCACTTGACAGATGCCGGCCCAGTATAATATGTCTAAGTCTCTGTCGTTGTTCCCAAGCAGGGTATCAAGCCAGCAAACCCCACGCGCTCTCTAAGCTGGAACGAGGGGAAGAACCGTGGACAGTACAGTGTGGACACTGCTGTCTAGTCTCGCCAGGTGAGGGGGAGAGAGCCAGCAAGGCGGGTGGCCGGGAAGTCACACTGTAGTCAGAGGCAGCACCAGAGTCGTGACAGTGAATGAGGAAACTCAAACCACCCTTCCACGAATGAGAACCCTTTTTCTTTGTAGAAGTTTTGGGGAAAATATACCCCTCTTTTATTGTCTGATAAAAACAAAACAAAACAAAACAAAAAAACACTTATTTTATCCACCTCGTGTTTTTGTTTGCATAGTTTTCATCCTCCTGGGATTGTCAAATCTTCCTCCTTTTTGTCTCAGTCACCGTGACTGCCTGTGTTAGCACCTTTCTTGCTATGCAATCCCACTTTCCAGGCCTCTCTAGAAAGAGAGAACTTGGAATCCATTGCTTTTTTTTTACTCCTGGGCTGTTAGCAGTGGAATGGCTCTTTGATAGGTGCCTGTGAGCACATTGATGAGGATGTGAGTCAGCTCCCGGAGCGTTTCAAAGGTGAGACGATGGGACATTCAAGAAGTTGTATCTGGCTGAAGCCGGTTTGGCTCGGTGGTAGAGCGTCGGTCTGCGGACTGAGGAGTCCCGGGTTCGGTTCCGGCCAAGGGCATGTACATTGGTTGCGGGCACATCCCTGGTGGGGGGTGTGCAGGAGGCAGCTGGTCGATGTTTCTCTCTCATCGACGTTTCTAGCTCTCTATCTCTCTCCCTTCCTCTCTGTAAAAAAATCAATTAAAAAAAAAAAAAAAAGTTGTATCTGGAATTGTGTGAGGAGCTTCTAGAATACTTGTCTGTACAGCCAGTAATGAGCAAGAGGGAAAATGATGAGGTGATGACAGTAGGGTGGCAACTGGAGGTGCCGAGATATTGGGTGTTTTTTGCTTCGTATTTCAAATTTTTTTACTTGATTCTTGCAATCCTCTAGTGTGCTGTTGGATCTCTGTATATTATTCTTTATTTTAGTCAGTGTATGCTTAATTTCTAGTTGCTACTTTTTCATATCGTTGAGAGTCTCACTAAATTTATCGGCCTTTTCTAGAAAATTCTTGAAAAACCTTATAACCGTGGTTTTTGAACTCTATATCCAGTCATTTGCTTTCCTCCATTTCTATCATTTGTGATCTGTTTGTCTCTGCATTTTGGCTGCTTCTTTCCTGTGTTGATAGTGTGGCTTTGTGTGTTAGATGTCCTATAGGGCCCAGTGGCTCAGCCTCCTCAGTTATCTGAGGTGGACACTCTTGGTGCACCCCTTTGTGGAATGTGTGCACATTCTTGTAGTTAAGCCTTGATTGTTGTTGGTATCACTGTTAGGAATTGACCTCCAGGCCACTTGGCTGGGAGGATCAGGTGTGTCTACGATGGGAAAACTTCTGTGCTGGTGACACCCTTATAGGGCAAGACCTGCTTCAGTGGGGTTTTGGCATTCCCTGAGTCTGCCCCCTCAGTGTGTCCCTTCTGGATCTGAGGAGTTGTAATCTGGATGGTCTCATTCTGATCCCTGGGTACACTGTCACTTGGTGCTCTAAGGAGGTGCTAATTTAGCCTCTGCCTGAGACCACCCAGCAAGAGGTATGGAGAGATCTGCAGATTCCTCTTCGTTGTTTGAGGTTTAGAGGTGCCCAGATGAGGCCCAGCTGTGAAGCAATGCAAGCTGCTGTGGGGCCTTGGGCCTTCTTTTGGATGTTCTGGGTCTCTCTGACCCAGCTGCAGTTCGTTAAATAATTTTAGATTGCAAATGGCCAGGCCATTCATACGCAAAAGCCTCTGCACACAGCCTGGGTGGGGCAGGTCTCGGTATCAACAGGGCAGAGCAAACAGCTATGGCTGATCCTCAGCACTGCCCTAATAGGCCCCCATGGTCTCAGTGTCCCTCGGTAATCACTGCAAGCACCTCTGAGAGAAAGCTGCCCTCTAGTTTTGCCCGATGCCAGACAGTCCAGTTTCTCCCCATATGAGTCTGGTTCCCCGTAGTCTCACCCGGAACTGGAGTTCAGAGCAGTCAGGAGCTTGTGTCTCCCTCTCTATTGAAAAAGGCAACCACGTACTCAGTTGCCAGCCCTCTCAGTGCACGCGCCTTTGTACCTCTGCACCTCTGCCTTCCGCAGATCCTTTGAGTCTCAGTGTGCTTTTCTCTTCCCTTCTAGTCGTAGAATTTCCACTCAACCAGCCTTCCTGTGGTTCTGGGTGATGTCTGTTTTGTCTCTTAGTTGTAGTTTTGAAGCGGTTGTGGGAGGCAGCAATTTCAGGTGTTTATCTATGCTGCCATCTTGGTTTTTCTCCAGGTCACTGGTTTTTTAAATGGACAAGCTTGCCTATAGTACAGAAGGTAAAAATTATCAGGGAGGGGAGTGTACTGTTATACTCATGGTTACAATTTGTGACAGTAAAACAGTGCATATTAATATTATAAAAAATGTGCACTGGAAAGAGTCCAGGAGTCTCCTGGAAAGTGCTAAATCAGCTCTGGCTGGTGGTGCGAAGTGGTTACAGCATTGGTCCTTGCACTGCAGGGTCACAGTGGATTCCCAAGGGACTTGTATACCTAGGTTGCAGATTTAATTCCCTGCCCCAGTTATGGTGTGTGCAGGACCCACCAATTGATGTGTCTCTGTCACATTGATATTTCTCTCGGTCTCTCTCTCTGTGTCCCTCCCTCTTCCATTCACACTCTCTCAAAATCAATGAGTGAAGACAAGTATATTTCTTATTTTACATCACATGAGATTGTCTCTACATACAATGTCTTATTTTACTTCACATGAAGGCTTTTTTAAACAGTTTTATCTCTAACTAGGATTATGAGAGATAACAGAATGATTCATTTCTGTTCTGTCCTAGAATTCAGGAAGGTCCATGATCCTCTGCCACATCACTTGTGGTGTCAAAGCATTCAGAAGAATGTGGAACAATGCTGTGAATGTAATATGTTTGCAGATATTGTTAATCAGAGCGGAGGTCATTACTTATTAAAGCAAAATCATGGAATGCCTGAAATAAGTGAAAAACTTATAGGATCAGATTTAAGTTTTGAAAACCAGAATAAAAGCTGTAACTTAAAGAATTCTGTTGAGTTGAATGGAGAGAAGGCATCCATTGTGCATGATAACCAGGAACAGTTTTACACTGAAATCATGTTGCCTGTCAGTACCAAAGTGATCAATAGTAAGTCCCAGATCAACGTAGAGAAAGCACACACATGCACTGAATGTGGAAAGGCCTTTGCGAAGATGTCTCTGCTCATTGATCACCACAGAGTTCACACGAGAGAGAAGCCTTATGGGTGTAGTCTGTGTGGGAAAGCCTTTAGCAGAAAATCCAGGCTCACTGAACATCAGAGAATACATACAGGACTCAAACAATATGAATGCACTGAATGTGACAAAACCTTCCTCAAGAAATCACAGTTCAATAGACATCAAAAAATTCATATGGGAGAGAAAACTTATACGTGTAATGAGTGTGGGAAAGCATTCATCAAAAAGTTTTGGCTCATGTGTCATCAGAGAACTCATACAGGGGAGAAACCCTATGGGTGCAGTCTATGTGAGAAGACCTTTTGTACAAAGTCTAATCTAAACAAACATCAAAAAACGCATACAGGAGAAAAACCTTACAGATGCAGTGAATGTGGAAAAGCCTTTGTTGAGAGAAATCATCTTATTGCCCATCATCGAACTCATACAGGAGAGAAACCCCATGAATGCCATCTATGTGGGAAGACCTTCCGTATAAAATCTAATCTAAATAAACATAAAAAAAACCATACAGGAGAAAAACCTTATAAATGCAGTGTATGTGGAAAAGGCTTTGTCGAGAAGAGACGTCTTATTGTGCATCATCGAATTCATACTGGAGAGAAACCCCATGGATGCAATCTATGTGAGAAGACCTTCTCTACAAAGTTTAGTCTCACTGTACATGAGAGAATCCATACAGGAGAGAAGCCTTATACATGCAGTGAATGTGAAAAGGGCTTTGTCAAGAAGAGTCATCTTATTGAGCATCACCGCACTCACACAGGAGAGAAACCTTTTACATGCAGTGAATGTGGGAAAGGATTCTCATTGAAGCAGTACCTTATAGGACATCAGCGAACTCATACTGGGCAGAAGCCCTATGTATGCAGTGTGTGTGGTAAAGGCTTCACCATGAAGCGCGATCTCACTGTACATCAGCGAAATCATATTCCAGAAAAACCATATGTGTGCGGCGAATGTGGAAAAGGCTTCATTGTGAAGCGCGGTCTCATTATACATCAGAGAACGCACACAGGAGAGAAACCCTACGTGTGCAGCGAATGTGGAAAAGGCTTCTCGGTGAAAATGCAGCTGACTGTGCATCAGCGAACGCACACAGGAGAGAAACCCTTTTTATGCAGTGAATGTGGGAAAGGCTTCTCAACGAAGCACTGCCTTATCGGACATTTGCGAACTCATACTGGAGAGAAGCCTTATGTATGTAGTGTGTGTGGAAAATGTTTCACCATGAAGCGTGACCTCACTATACATCAGCAAAGTCATACTTCAGAAAAACCGTATATGTGTAGTGAATGTGGAAAGGGCTTCATTGTGAAGAGTCGACTGATTGTACATCAGCGAATACACACAGGAGAGAAGCCCTATGTATGCAGTGAATGTGGGAAAGGCTTCCCACAGAAAAGGCAGCTGCTTGTACATCAATGGACTCATACAGGACAGAAACCTTATGTATGTAGTGAATGTGGAAAAGATTTCACAGCAAAACGCAATCTCATCAGACATCACCTAAAACACACTGGAGACAACCCCCAGGAACATAGTGGAAAAGGCTTCACCATGAAAACTGATCTTACTTTACATTAGCAAAGTTATACTTTAAGAGAAACTGTGTGTGTACAACAAACTGGGTAAAAGCTTTACCCTTAAAACTCATGTCAATGTACATCAGTACACTCAGATGGGAGATAAAGTTTGTATGTGCAAGAAATATGACAAAGGCTTAATTGGGAAAAATATGCTCATTACATGTCTGTGAATTCATATGGAGAGAAACTGTATATACGCAATGAATGTGGAAAGAGAATACTGTGGGTATTCTTCAGCAAACTCATAATGTAGAGAAGCCACACAAATGTAAAAAAAAGTGGTTAAGGCTTTAGGAAGAAGACATGTCTCATGCAACATCAGAGATTTCACTCAGGAAGGACTTCCTTTGCATGTACTGAATGTGGAAAATTTGCATTCAGCAAAAATGATATTATTCATCAGATAATTCACATGGAAGAGAAACCCTATGAATACATTAAATGTGGGAAAGCCTTCACTACAAACTCAGGACTATGTTTGTCAAAGAAAACATACAGGAGAGAGGCCCTAAGAGTGCATCATTTGTGGAAAAGCTTCTGACCACTTGTCAATTGTTAAACGTAAGAGATTTCACAGGTAGTTGCTTTGGGGTAAGCCTGTATGCAGTAAACAATAACTTAATACAACAGAGAAGATAGGGGGGAAATGAATAACTTACTGCAAAGAATCTGGTACTATCTTTGTTGGTCATTTACCAGATTTTGTGTAAAAAAATTACAAAACAACTTGGATACAATCAGCCTTCAGAAAATATTTTAGGACATTTATGACCAAAAAGTTTATCCTGATACACATCCTATGAATGTGACAGAATATGAAATTCTTTAGTGGGAATCACTTATGATATATGATAATCAGAAATCATGAATGAATATTTCTAATTATGGAAAAGCATCTGCTCAAAAGTAAGACCTCAATAGATGTCATTTTACACTAGACAATTTTCTTTGGTAGGGATATGTCATGGTTTGCAGTAACTCATGTTGCCCTATCATTTGCCAGAAACTCATGCAGAAATAACTCATGAACACATTCAATTTGGTGAACTTTAGCAAAACTTCCAATAACTTAATGAAGAAAAGAATCCTTGAATCTAAACCTCATAACCAATGGGGACCAGGATACCTTCAGCTACAATTTCTAAAAATATATATATCAGCCAAAACCAGTTTGGCTCAGTGGATAGAGCGTTGGTCTGCGGACTCAAGGGTACCAGGTTCAATTCCAGTCAAGGGCATGTGCCTTGGTTGCGGGCACATCCCCGGTGGGGGGTGTGCAGGAGGCAGCTGGTCGGTGTATCTCTCTCATCGATGTTTCTAGCCCTCTATCCCTCTCCCTTCCTCTCTGTGAAAAATCAATAAAATATATTTTTTTTAAATAAATAAAAATATATGTATCAGAGAGGAAGACAGAGATAGAAGCATCAGTGATGAGAGAGAAGCATTCATCCGGTGCTCCCCACACACCCTGTACTAGGAGCTGAGCCCACATTCCAGGAATGTGCCCTAAGCAGGAGCTCCTGATCCATAGGTCAACAACCAACCACTGAGCTGCACTGTCTAGGCCCTTCAGCCATAATAATTGCTTTGCCATTGACTTTATAATTTTTAAACAGTACAATTATCTCATCATGAATAAAAATGTATACAACACAGGAGTGGTCTATGTCTCATTATGTAATAACATTTTACAATTCTTTAGTTCTATTGGTTATTTCAAAATAGATGAGTACTTAAAAATGAAACTGATATTCATTTTTAAGGATACAATTTTAATGCATTTGACCAAGTATATAAGTAATAGCAAGAAGCTTATAAAATTAATATAAACATGATGTTATTTATAATTTTTAACTTAGTTTAGAATCATGAAAACTGCAATGTTCTTTTTGTTTTTAAAACCATAATATTATATGTTTTAGAACTTCATATAAATGGAAACATACATCTGTCCCCTTTTTCTGTCCATTAAGCCCCTCCAGCTTGCCCTCAACCCCTGTCCTGGGCTTTTACAACCTAGTTGTCTGTGTCCTTGGGTTATGCATGTATAAATACAAGGTCTTTGTTTGATTGCCTCCACTTACTCTCCCCAGCCTTCCCTCTGAGATTCTGTTCTCTGTTTCTATGTCTCTGGATCCTGTATTCATCAGTTTATTTTGTTACTTAGATTACACATATGAGTGAGATCATGTGATATTTGTCTTTCTCTGACTGGCTTATTTCACTTAGCATGATGCTTTCCAGGGCCCCTTCATGCTGTCTCAAAGGGTAAGAGATTGTCCTTTTTTATTGCTGCATACTATTCCATGGTGTAAATGTACCATTGATTTTTTTAAAAATATATTTTATTGATTTTTTACAGAGAGGAAGGGAGAGGGATAGAAAGTTAGAAACGTCAATGAGAGAGAAACATCAATCACCCGCCTCCTGCACACCCACTACTGGGGATGTGCCCGCAACCAAGGTACATGCCCTTGACCGGGATCGAACCCAGGATCTTTCAGTCCGCAGCCAATGCTGTATCCACTGAGCCAAACTAGTTTGGCAAGATATTCTTTTTTTAAAGTATATGTTCTCTATTGATTTCAGAGAGGGAGAGAGAGAGAAACATCGATGATGAGAGAGACATTGATCGGCTGCCTTCTGCATGCCCCACTCGGGATTGAGCCCGAAACCCAGGCATGTGCCCTAACCATGAATCGAACCCACGACCTTTGAGTCCACAGGCCGACACGCTATCCACTGAGCCAAAACAACCAGAGCTTAAAGATATTCTTTAGTAAAGTTGTAAATGTAAGTACATTTTCCCCTGAGAGTTTGTGGGAACCTTCATTTGAAGCCAAGTCAGAAGTTTTAGCTAACCGGGAGAGCTACTACATATGATTAGCATGCATGTGAAATGGCAGGGAGCAGGGTGTGGTACTGAGCCCTTCACCTGTGGCAGCTGGCATTACTGTGTCCGAATGGAGCTAATATGTGGGATATCAGTTGGTGCGGAGAACTCCCCGCTGTAATGCGCACACTCTCCTGGTGACCAGGCGTGTTGTGACAGTAGCAGCAGTGAGAGAACAGGAGAGGCACAAGATGGAACTGCAGGTTTTCCCAAGAGACTTCAAGTGAAGTCAACCTAAGATCCAGCCCCAAGCTCTCTGGGGCAAGCATGTCAAACTCGAGGCCTGCAGGCCACACGTGGCCCACAGTGAGTATTTTTGCAGTCCTGCCAATATAACGGTATATAAGAAACATTTTAATAAAAATTTCGTAAATTTTTATAATATCCTGTTACATACAATTATTAATAAACTACAATGTTCGCTAATGACTGATGACTATAATCGTGTTGCATTCACTTCCCTTATGCACATTATTCGCTGGTGCACCATTTCTCTCCACTAATTTCAGCAGTGAATATTTTAGCAGCAGATGGCCACCCCATTAGTCTTGGACTAACTTGATTGGTGTACACAACAGGAAATATTTTGGTTTCGGAGAACAAGAAAAATAGGTTTATTTGTGTTATGCTTATTAATTTGTGCAGTTATTCAACGTCTGGTAAGTTAATGTTCAAGAAAAAATACTAATTTTTATTAAAATGTTCTATTATTTTATGTTATTACTCATTTATTTCAGCCCTTTGTATTCAGCCTATCTCTGTAAATAAACCTACGTTTCTATGAAAATGGAAGCTTTTGTTTTTTTGTAGCACATACACTTTGTGTTCTGTTGAAACTGGTGAATACAGTCCATCCCATGCCTCGTTGGCCTTTGATAGGTTCCAGCCTCTAAAGACTTAAGCAGTGGCTCTGCACTGGAGGGCATGTCTTGCAGAGAGGAAGGCACTGGCGTGGTCATAAGACAGCAGAGGCATACCAACAGGTATGGCCACTCCCATCAGAAACTTCCGGTTTTGCTGGATGACGACCTAGAACCTGAGGGAGGTCAGAACTGAGACTTCCAGACATGACCCAGAGCCCTGGACACCCACGTGTCCTGGCCCTTTGGTGTCCCTAGCAACAGCCAAGGAAGTACTTGGGGAGAGAGCACCGAGCTGGGGGTAGTGTGGTGCCTCGGTTCAGCCTTTGGCACCTGAGGGTGGGGTCTCCAAGGCTTAAGGTCTGGTGAGATTCTATGTGAATCCCTAGTGAGGGGCCTGTGAGGTCAGTGGAGCAGGAATGCTTATGAATGTTGGTGTTTGGAAGTTTTATTTTAATTCCTTGTCACCGAAGAATCTGAGCATCACTGTGGGGTGTTTTTTAAAAAATATTGATTTTTTACAGAGAGGAAGAGAGAGGGATAGAGAGCTAGAAACGTCGATGAGAGAAACATCGACCAGCTGCCTCCTGCACACCCTCTACCGGGGATGTGCCTGCAACCAAGGTACATGCCCTTGACTGGAATCGAACCCTGGACCTTTCAGTCCTCAGACCAACGCTCTACCACTAAGCCAAACCGGTTTCAGCAAGTGTGGGCTTTTTAAAAACTATATATTTTATTGATTTTTTACAGAGGGAGAGGGAGAGTTAAGAAACATCGATGAGAGAGAAACACTGATCAGCTGCCTCTTGCACACCCCCCACTGGGGACGTGCCCGCAACCAAGGCACATGCCCTTGACCGGAATCAAACCCGGGACCCTTGAGTCCGCAGGCCGACACTCTATCCACTGAGCCAAACCGGTCAGGGCAAGTTTGGGTTTTTTTTGTTTAATCTTAGTCTGAAGATATTGACAACTGAAAGTCTGATACTCAGGGCTTCCAATCTCCACATCAACCCTGCTGGGCTTGGGCAAGGAAAACTGGAAAGTGTGAACCAATGAGCCATTCTTGTCAACTAGGTTAGTTATTTAATCTAAATCCAAATTAATCTAAGCAGGGAGGAATATCATTGGACAATAGTATCTGTGGAGAACTTTTGATTGAATGGGAGGTTGCTGTTTGGGGAGTACAGAGTGTCTCCGGGTTTGAGAACAGAGGGGTCTGGAAGTTCTGAGACCCACAGTCCCAGGCTAGTGGGTGTTTTGAAGCTCAGCGTTTGGATGTTGGAAACATCTGCAGTTGTTCAAGTCCAAGTCCTTTATCAAGGTTCCTATTGAAATGTCTCCTAGACCGTTTGGGATCTTGCTGCATGGCATATATTATCAGTTTGGATCAAGGAAACTCCTATAAAAAATGTTTTTTGTCTTGTCCTGGCTGGGTATCTCAGAACATTGTCCCAATATGCCAAGGTTGAGGGTTCAATCCCTGGTCAGGGCACATACCAAAATCAACCAATAAATGGAACAAACTGAAGTCTCTGTTCCTCTTTCTCATTTTCTGCCGAAACCGGTTTGGCTCAGCGGATAAGAGCGGCGGCCTGCGGAATGAAAGGTCCCAGGTTCGATTCCAGTCAAGGGCATGTACCTTGGTTGCAGGCACATCCCTAGTAGGGGGTGTGCAAGAGACAGCTGATAGATGATTCTCTCTCATCGGTGTTTCTAACTCTCTATCCCTCTCTCTTCCTCTCTGTAAAAAATTCAATAAAATATATATATTTTTAAAATATATATATTTTTTGTCTCAGTTCGCAGACCGACGCTCTATCCACTGAGCCAAACCAGTTATAGCCCATCTGCTTATTTTTAAAAATATATATTTTATTGAATTTTTAAAGAGAGGGAGAGAGATAGAGAGCCAGAAACATCAATGAGAGAGAAACATCGACCAGCTGCCTCCTGCACACCCCCTACTGGGGATGTGCCCGCAACCAATGTACATGCCCTTGACTGGAATCGAACCTGGGACCTTTCAGTCCGCAGACCGACGCTCTGCCAGGCGTCTTCAAACTACGGCCTGCGGGCCACATGCGGCCCACAGAGGAGTCTGATCCGGCCCGCCAGGTTTTTTGGGCAGTGAGCGCAGCCGAGGTGTTACAGTAGGAATTAGTAGTTCATATAGTCCGGCCCTCCAGCTCTCTGAGGGGCCGTGATCTGGCCCCCACTTTAAAAAGTTTGAGGACCCCTGCGACTGAGCCAAACCGGTTTCGGCCCATCTGCTTATTTTATTTTTTTAACAATGGGATATTTATTTATTTATTTATTTTACAGAGAGGAAGAGAGGGACAGAGAGTTAGAAACATTGATGAGAAAGAGACATCCATCAGCCACCTCCTGCACACTCCCTACTGGAAATGTGCCTGCAATCAAGATACATGCCCTTGACCAGAATTGAACCTGGGACCCT